TTCAATCCTTTCCAGCCCTGTATCCTATTTATCGATCACTGTCGAGACAGTGCCACTGCAAGAAACAAACCCCTCAAAATCTCCAACTTCCACGAAACATTGGTATGGACGTTATTCAAAGAACGTTGAAAATATTTGATCACTAATTGCGAGCCTCGTCGTTACGTGATCGCAGGAGACCACTGTCAACAAACCATCGATCGCTGCCACTGGCTGGACAGAAGAGAGAGGCTCGAAGAAATGTGGAAAACAAAATAGTCGACGCGAATACCGGAAGTGCGAGACCGAGAGAGAAAAGGTCGACGAGCCAGGCCTCGTCGGACACCTCGTGTTCAACGCGACGTCCAACTGGCCAGGGTGTTCTGGTTTCGCAGAGATTTCACTGTGTGCTCGCCGGAACCGGCCGGGAGGGGGGCGGAGAGCCACGATTTGCGCGGGAAACTTGCGCGTCGTCCAGTCTAGTCTCTCTTTCTCTCTCTTCGTGAATATAGACGCTGACCTTATCTCCGTTGCACTTTCTACACATACACCTGACTCTGTCTGTTCCCCGGTTGCTTGTCTGTGCGTTATACAATCGAAATCGTTTTCGGTTTTCTGGAATGATTTGAGACTCACTGGAAAGGTTAGAGGTTTGTTCATTGATTTCGAAGTTATGGTTTGAATGTTGCGTGGTAGATTTTGGATTGCGTGTCCTGGATGCTGGGCGTTAGGTTTCGGAGCGTGAGTCTTTGATACAGTTTTGATACAGTTTTTGGATACTGAGTCTTGAATACTGAGTCTTTGATACTAAATTCTTGATATTGAGTCTTTGATACTGAGTCTTTGATACTAAGTCTTTGACAATGAGTCTTCGATATTAGATTTTGGATACTGAGTCTTGGATACTAAATCCTGGATACTCAGTCTTGGGTACTAAGTCTTGAATATTGAGTCTTTGATACTGAGTCTTGAATACTGAGTCTTTGATACTAAATTCTTGATATTGAGTCTTTAATACTGAGTCTTCGATACTAAGTATTGGATACTGAGTAATTTATATTGAGCCTTGGATACAGAGTCCTTGATACTGAGTCTTAGATACTAAGCCTTGGAGACAGAGTCTTGAATACTAAGTCTTCAACAGAAAGTTTTGAATATCCAGTCTTGGCTACTAAGTCTTCGACACTAAGATTCAATTCAAGTATAATCCTCAAGAAATAAATATCTATTAATACCAACTAATTCGAACTAAACAATTTGGATTAACACCATCACAACAGAAATTCCTTGGCTTCGATACTTCGAATTCATCTAGCCAGCTGAACCTCGCAAACATCTGTTTACTGCATCTAATATTTACGTTCACTATGTATCTGTCCTTCTTCCGGTGTTTCGTTCGTTTCGCCTGACTCATATTTTTATGCCCCCCTTTCGTCTAAGACTGGTTTACGTTCGTCCGTGCCAAACGGTCGGCCCCTGAGGTTCTTTTCTTTTTAGCCCTCATTCCGGTCTGAGGTCTTTTTGATTCTCTTGCTATGTGCGCATCTCTTTCTTGATTCTGATTTTGTTTGCTCCCTTGGCATTGGATTCCTTTCCCTGTTCCTCCCCTGCTGACCTCTAGCTCCGATACTATTCTGACCACGTAGAGGTACGATTCTTCGCGAGACCTCTCGGTTAGCTGGAATTAGCGGCCCTTTTGAAGGGGTCACTGGCGGGTCATGAGCTTTTCAATTCGAAGGGGGTTATTTGAATTTTAGAGTAGCCCAGATTTTCAGCTATTGCGAATGCTTGAATTGACACTTTTCAATATATAAATTGATAAGTATTCAAAATTTAAGATTTCTTATCTTTCAATCTTCGAATTATCCAATTTGTAATTAAATTCAAGAGATTTTCAAACGTTCGAGATTCACCTTCAACTTTCATGCACTATAATATTCGAATCTTCAAATATTTATTACACTAATCTACACTAATTATTCAACAATTCAATCACTCAGTCCTTATAATTATTACTCAACCCTTTACTCATTTAATCATTCAACTATTCCATTTTCTAAGCCAATTATTCCATTATCCACCAACCCAATTAACCAAATAGTCATCGAGCATCTCGCCACTCAAATTCCCAAATTTCCATGGTTCCAAATTACCAAACTCCTGAACCGTCAACTCAACTTTCCTCATTCATCCTCATTTCCTAATTATCTAACGTAATCTCGAAAGACTCACGTTCAAAATTAATAAATCAACCGAAAAATGTTCGAGTCCCCTATTCTCGGATTGCTCCCGATTTATCAGCGTTCGACTAAAATTTCCCCGCGCAATTCCCAGCGCAGCTAAAATTCACTCGGAACGACATCCGAGAAACGACGCGCGCGCGCACTGCGACACGCGTATCGCGTATCGCGTATTCGAGGTGCGTCTGCCGCGAATATAAATAGGGCATGCCGTGTGGTCGCGATGCAAATGGGTATTTGATAAATAACGCGTTTCAATTGGATCCATCTTGCGGAATGCGAGCGATGTATCAAAGCGGAACGAGCTCCCCGGCGCTGAGCGGAAACACTCCAGCCATTTACCTACGTAAAACCGTAATTATTGCTCTAGCGCTTCCTCCATTGTTTCCTTTGTCCCGGCGAACATTTAAGGGTTAAATAATTCGGTGCAATCCGCTCGGTAAGAAACCATCAATTTTCAGGAATTTTATTTGTGACGGTTTAATTGAATTTCAATATTTTTTCGGTTAATTCAATTATTCTTTTATGATCATTTTTTTATATAGTGTTAATTGATTTTTTTCTCGCTGCATGGTTTAGAGTAGACATGCATTGAACGAATTATTCAGAATAATTTGGTGTTTGAAATTTTCATTTATTTTGAGTTAGTGTTTTAAATGTTTATTCATTTCCAATAGGTTATTGCTTGACGTTTTTATTAATTTCAAATAATTTCTTGTTTGAAATTGTTATTGTTTCTAAATAATTTACTGTTTGAAATTTTTATCGATTTAAAACAAATTCCTGTTTTAAATTGGCATTACTTTTAAATAATTTACTGTTTCAAATTTGAATAATTTTAATGAAACTCATTGGACGACAGTATAAATCCTCTTTGAATACTATTAAACTAAACAAATGTTACATTTATACTATTTCATTCTTATCACTTCATTATATACCATATTTTCAACGATTTTCCTTTGTCACTGGTGGTTTGAGGCACGAGGAGCTTCTCTAAACAAAGTTCTTCAAATTGTGAGGGAGAAAGAAGGATACAGATTGTCGTTACTCTTTTAAATTTATCTCCAAAGTTTCCTGGATGTTTTAGAGAAGAAACAACATCGTAAGGATTCTAAAGTTATCTGCGCAGTTTCCAAACCATGAAGCAGCAAGAAAAAAAGAACAACATGGTCCCTGTGGATTCACGTTTCAAAGTTTTCCATTAATCGATGGGACTCTTGAATAGAAACTTCGTTTCGAATGGAACAATGGAACCTAATTAACACTTTTCTCTGAAATGTCAATGCTATCCTGAAAATTTGCAAACGTAAAACTCAATGAAAGAGTAAATGATCCTCGCTTCTTTCAGTGTTCGTTGACACAATTTTTAAACGTAACGTATATCGAACAATTTATTCAAACATCAAAATTTCCTAGAAACACAAGAAGATTGAATGTAAGAGTTTCCTGGGAAAATTCATGAATGATAGTATAATGGACACGGAATCCCTTTTTTCCTTCGACAAAGGAATGATGACGCATGAACTGCAGTGGGTGTAACCTTCGCAAAAGGTCACATCACCGGGATACGAAGTTTATTAACGAATATTCTGCGCCAAATATCATTTTACATATATTCGATCAAATTTATTTTTATCATTTCTTGTGAAATAAACAGCCACTGGAAAATAGCGCAGATACGTGTTTGGCCACGAGGCGAAATTCACCTCTGATCAATTGCTATGTCGCTGTTAATTGAAATTTTTTCCAGGAAAAACGTTCCACGCGAATGTTACACGTCGTAGGGAAGATATTTACAATCAAAGCTTCGGTTTCGAGCGTTGTTCCGTTGAATAAACTTTATACCGAATTAAATTACACCGACGTTCGGTGTTTAACACTAAAACTACCATGCGGTTCAAAATGGCCGACTCTTGATATCTTCTTCTTGCTATTATTAAAAAGATAGCGGATATTTCTGTGAGAGACTATTGCAAACATTGATTTTTCATTGATAAAAAAATATTTTTCTCATTATATTATACAATTATCATGTAAATAATTTAACAAATCATTCTACAACGTATTTTACTTCATCATCACGGATATAGCTTTAATCTAAAGAATATTTAATATGTATAAAATAGTATAACTTCGAAGTAATTTCTATTACTGCAAGTTTCACAATAGAATTCTTGTTACTCCGTGTTATCACGAATAATAAGAAAATTGATTTTAAATATGAACAGCCTTAAATGAAAAAGTGTTAAATATGAAATCTTAGAAATATCAAAAATTTCGAATGAAATATTCGATCGTTATCAATTATTATGTTGAAGCAGACGTGAAGACAAAATACGCCTACAATTTTTCTATTTCTCCAATAAATTATTAACAAACTAATACAGTTTCACCGATCACAATTGACAAATAAATCACAGAGCAAAGGATTAAACGTCGAAGACAAGTTGTTCGACGAAAAATCCGATAAATTTTAATATCGCACCCCTTCCCAACCCTTCCGCCGCGCGAACGAACATCTTTAATTAACAGGAAACGCTCGAAATGTTTAATAAACAGCCGGACGCGATCGATCGCGTGCTTAGAATAGCGTTCGGCGTTCGACAGGAGCGGCGATCGTTCGTCCAAGGATCGAGGACCTCTAAATCAACCGGCGGAGAATTTATAAACAAATGGTGTTCTACAATATTCTCTACTATTGAAAAAAAGAAAGAAAATTGGCGAACGAAGATCACTTGGAAATGTTCCGAATCGAGTGACGTATGTAAACACACTCACCGATGTTCGCACGGCACTGATAATTAACTGCAGTCCTCGATTATATACTCGACGAAATTCGATCTTGGCAGGGACGAAAGAATGTAATTGAATTTACCCACCGGGTGAGTTACGTGCGCATCAATTAGCGTTCGTATTGAATTTAATATGCGCGTTATTATTATCCGACTGTTGCGCGCTCCTTACTGATCGAATGGACTCCCATTGTTAAGTAATACATTAATCATATTAATTATAATATGGGATTTTAATCGATTTTTGTATTTCCATAAGTTGTTACTCGCTTTTCATTATCTCGTTGTTTCACCGTTAATTATTCGAGTTATTAACATCTCATTATTAGGTATTGATATTTTTCATGTCGAACTTAATATGAATTCGATGTTTAATATTGTAGTATTAAATTCCATAGGCTTCGATGTTGAATTACTGTTAATCGTCATTTGACAGTTTCAATTATTAGAAATTGTAAATGATTAATATGTTAATAATCAAGTATTTTAAACGATTCGTCGTTATTCATTGATTAACGCTTTCAATTATTATTTATCATTATTATTATTACTATCCATTTTATGTGATTAATATATTAATAATCATTCAGTTTAAATGATTAATCACTATTAACCGTTGATTAACACTTTCAATTATTTATTAATATTCCTATCCATTTTATGTGATTAATATATTAATAATCGTTCATTTTAAATGATTAATCACTATTAACCATTGATTAACACTTTCAATTATTATTTATTACTAGTGCTATCTATTTTATATGATTAATATATTAATAATCAATCATTTTACATGTATTAATCGTTACTAAACATTCATTAACACTTGTAACAACTTTTTATAGGTATTACAGGCTTGAACAGTGTTCAACATTAACCGAGAACTCGTCTGTTCGACGGAAACGAGGGTACTACAGCGGCGTACAACATTCGCATGATACTGATCGCCACGTACACAGTTGAAACAAGTACCGGACACCTATAGATACATCACGGCTCTTCATAAATGACTGTCTTGACGTCGCGCGGCGGCAGTTATTTTAATGACCGCACCAATCGCTCTTAATTCCCCGGATTCTTCGACTGTACCTACGCGACCGCATCATCGACGATCATGAAACCGCTGGAAACGAAGAATTCGAGCCGTACGTTGAGTCAGAACACGCTGCCAAGGACTCTTTAATGTTTCTTAATAATTCGTCACGGTGAAAATCATTCTAATCCGCTGATGCAAACGAGTTTTTAAATGTCGAGATTATTCTTCGACGCGAATAATCTTTTTCTGTATCCTTGGCGACCAGCCAACCAATAATTCATTTACTTTTGTTTCGGTTAATCGACAATATTAATCGAACTTCTTTCATTCATTTCATTTAATAAAAAGATCAAGCTTCGAAATTTCTCTGTTTCTTCGTGAAACATTTGTAACTCGAGGATACTGGAAATGCAAATAATTTAATGAATCATTAACTTTTGTTTCGGTAGATCGATAATATTAATCGAACGTCTTTCATTCATTCCATTTAATAAAAAGATCAAGCTTCGAAATTTCTCTGTTTCTTCGCGAAACATATGTACCTCGAGGATATCGGAAATGCAAATAATTTAATGAATAATTTATTTCTGTTTCGTTGAATCGATAATTTTATTTAATAGAAATATTAACAGGAAATTTGTCTGCCTTTTCATTAAACAATTGTAACTTAAGGATATTAAGAATGCGAATGATTTGATAAATATGAATTTTTCGTGACAATTAACATTTGAGAATAATGAGATTGATTTATACGTGTATTGAAGGTTTTTTAACGATTGAGTGACACACTCGTTTTTCCCGAGACACCCAGTACAAGAACACTGTGCAATCCGTTCTTCAAGACACTGTACGTCAACAATTCCATTAAATTGCTACAAGGCTCTGTCCGGAACGTAGTAATTAACCAGACTCGTCCTGTTTGATTGCTCTCATTATATAGGTCAGGAACTACAAAAAGCACTGGTAAATAAATAAATTGCTAGGTTGAAGGGGTGACATTATGGGAACCCGTTCCTCTTTTTACAGTACTCTTAACCGACACTTGTTGGACTCTGATTAAACGCTAACCCTATATAAACCTAAACATCAAGTTTATCTGTACGACAATTAGATAGCAAAGATACATAAATTTTATTTAATAAATAAAAACATCTTGGTTAACATTATACAGCAAACACTGATTAGATCTGTGTCATAAATTAAGTCCATCTAGACCAGAATTTGAGCTAAAAATTAACTAGGTCAAGATTGCACCAGAATTGGCTAGATGAGGATCCCACATCATCTAGTTGCAACTAGATTAACTGTTAAATCTGCCTGTCTTAAGAATCATGTTTAACATCAGGTTTACCGGGTCATTTTGACCCATTTCGAACTTTACGAAGGAAATTACACAAACCGTTCGCATTTATTTTCTGCCACTTCTACTGACTTGTTCGTTTAGAAGATCACTGTATATAATTATGTCGTTTATTACGTTGTTTTTTCTAAAAAATGTCTGATTCTGGTCATGGTACAAATTCATCTGTGTCGCTAGAGATAAGTACAATGATTTCAAAATTTCCTGGACAAATTTTTGGAGCTTCTCTTATACAATGAAGGCTTTAAGAACTTTTTGTTATTATACTTTTTGTTAGAATAAATACATGTCTTCAACACGTTATTGAGAATAATTTAGTGTTTGACATTTTTATTAATTTCAAACGAATTAGGGTTTCAGATATTGATTCACTTCGAATAAGTTATTCTTTTAAATTTTCGTTATTTTCAAATAAGTTTGACATTCTTATTGCTTCCAAATAAATTACCACTTGACATTTTTATTAACTTCAAATAATATTTCGTTTGAAATTTTCGTTACTTTCAAATAATTTATTTTTCGAAATATATTCCATACATACATATGTATATAAAAACATCAACACTACCTATTCTTTATACATATTCGTTTGGAAAGAAATGGTAAATAGTAATAATCAACTTTGGAACACGTCAATGTAGTTATTGTTTAAATACGCAGGTATGAAAACAAAATAGTATGGTTTCTTATAGTATTCATCCATGTAAATACGTCCTTATTTATTATATTAACAAAAACTTATTAAAACTCATCCTATCGAAGAAAAATTCCAAAAATGATTCGGTCTGGAACTTTTGAACGCCACTGTATATAAAAGTGTCGGTAGACCTAGTGTTAAAAGATAGTTTCGTTTCCTTCGTTGTGGAGATGGTAGTATAGAAATTACATATACAAGCTGGTATTAATATGATGAATATCATTAACCGTATTCATTATATAATATCTACATGTACAGAGTAAAACAGTCCGGTGCAGTGTCTGATAGTATGCAACCTAGTGCAAGCATAATCTGTTCGCACAACAGATGGAGCAAAGTGAATACACCGGTGCCTACGTATCGTCAGTGTTTGCGCTACTCGAGATAAAAATATTTGCACGCGGTGCGGTTCCACTCGCGTGCACTTACGTTGCATTCGTTGCACCGCGAAAATATTTGCTACTGCGCCCTAGTGGTAGTCTACGTCCATAACAATGGAGTACTAATATTAATCATTCTGTGTTAAAGGATTGCTATAATATCGATGATATAATGATATATTAATATTATCTATATTTTGGTATAGTAATAATTTTAATAATAGTATTACTAACATTTATTTTGTAATATTAATGATAATATTATTAATATTAATTTTGTAATATTAGCGATAATATTATCAATATTAATTTTATAATATTGATAACATCAATAACAACATTACCAAAATTAATTGTGCAATAATAATGATAATATTCCTGATATTAATGTTGTAATATCGACAATATTATTAACAATATTCCCAAAATTAATTCCTTAATATCAACAAACACACCACCAATATAACATTCAATCAATAATAATTCTGTAGTTTCTTATCCCTGCAACTTCAGCTCATCCAAAAAGAATAAGTCTCTTACAATTAACACCAATTTGTTAACAGTTCGGGTGTACAGTTTGCAACAATCATCTACAGCAGCATACCTAAATTACATGATAATGTGACTTACCTATACTGTTCGGTAAATATCCTGAAAATAACAATGCAATCTTTATTCGAAAACGATCCACTATGGTCGTACATGCTGTTAATAAGTTACGTGTATCCCG